TACATATAATAAAATTGTAGAAAAGTGCTGTCTGTACATTGAAAATAAAAATAAAAAAAATAGCAGGGGCTATTGTTATGTCGATGTCGAACCCAAAAATGTAACTAACTTTTTTTTTGTCTGTTTGTCTGTTTGTCTGTTCACGCTAATCTCAGAAACGGCTTATCCGAGTTGGATGCGGTTTTCACGAATATATTGTGGTATGCTTCAGTTATGCTTTAGTGTTTGTTTCATGTCAATCGGTTCATAAATAAAAAAGTTACGTCAAATTAAAGAATCACGTCGAACACTATCTATCTATCTATACATATAATAAAATTGTAGAAAAGTGCTGTCTGTACATTGAAAATAAAAATAAAAAAAATAGCAGGGGCTATTGTTATGTCGATTTCGAACCCAAAAATGTAACTAACTTTTTTTTGTCTGTTTGTCTGTTCACGCTAATCTCAGAAATGGCTTATAAATATATATATATTTAACAGGGTGCGGAAAAGGTGATAGTGGTTTTATTCCTCAGATTCCTCTCATTCCAAAAAAAATTCCGTTTAATTTTAAACGAATTCAGTTTCCAGTGAGCCTATGTTTCGCCATGACAATTAATAAAGCTCAAGGTCAGACTCTAAAAGTTGTGGGTATAGATCTAAGTATCAGCTGTTTTTCGCGCGGTCAATTGTATGTGGCTCTGTCCCGTGTTAGCAATCCCAGCAGCCTGTATGCTTTCACCCTCGATGGCCATACGTCTAATATTGGATATAGAGAAGCATTACAGTAAAGTAGGTTTTTTAGCTACCCAAAATGACTGTGATTATGATCCAAATCTAAAATAAAAATAAGTATATATTTAAAAAAAAACGCTGCTCATAGTCACTATTCTACGCGAACGAAGTCGCGGGCACAGCTAGTTAATAATACATTTTCCTTATGTAAATTTATCCTTGTACTAGTTTGTATACAAATCATTAGCACATTGTTATGAAATAGCAATAGATAAACGTGATAGATGATTTCATTTTCATCTATGACGATTTTATTGGTTCGTATCCAAAATACAGTTACAGTCATATCTTAAAGACTGAATGCTTTTTTCAAACACATTTCACAAATTGTTTTAGAATTGAAATAGATAGTGATTCACTTGTTACATTTTGTTACATCATTGCAACTACTGGGTACAAATCCAGAAAGCTATTATTAACTCGTCGAGTACTGGTTTTGTAGACACAATTATAGAACAATAGGTTGCGGTCACCGGTGACCGCTTGGTGTTTGACAGTTTAAAACAATTAGAAAAATATGAACATATTTTTTTACTACTACTAGTAGTAATAAAACTTACGACTCATCTGGTGTTTAGCAGACAGCGTAGCCTAATAACTTTTGCAACAACAAATCAGTTAAATTGCGCTTTTAGCTGTCCGAGTCACACAGTGGCAGGGCAAACTGGCTGTCGTACAAAGTTTTGCGGGTTAGATTCCCGTACAGAATAACTCTTTGTGTGATCCACAAATAGTTATTCCGGGTCTGAGTGTCATGTCAGGTGTATGTGGAATTGTATGCAACAACAAAGGAGAAACCCCTTGGGTGAGGCAACGTTTTTTAAATAAAAAAATACTTTAAATTCCGGTTTCATAAAAGTGATGGTACTTACTAAATGAAACATAGGAACATTACGTCATCGTTTCATGCTGGTATTCGGTAAAACACAATAATAATACTACGCTTATTATTTTTTTGTCTACTGTAGATATCCTGTCCATCCAGAAGCAGCTCCTAGTCCTCACGAAGGCTACATCACAAGGCACGTCAGTGGGAAGAACAAAGATGATTATGACAACAGCCGTAGGGTAAGTAAATAGTATTTATACTAACAATCTATCTCAATAACCTCTCTACACATCAACAGCCTATAAATGCCCACTGCTGAGCAAAGCCTCTTCTCACACGGAGAAGGTTTGAGCATTAATCACCACACTTGCTCAACGCGGGTTGGCGATTTCAAACTTATAGAAATTATAAATAATAAACCCAGGTTTCCTCACGATATTTTCCTTCACCGTTTGTCAGTGGTATCTGAATTATCTTAGAAAGTACATATAACTAGGAAAAAGTCACATTGGTACTTGCTGTTGGTAGGTTTCGAACCCGCACCCTCATGCATGAGAAGCGGGCGTCTTAACCTTTGAGCCATCACGACACTTCCTCTTTACATAATATAGCCTCTATACAAAATATAGAACCTAACGCGTTACCGGGGCTCCGACTCGACGTGCAGGAGAAGGAACAGGGGGTTTTTAGTCAGTAAGAGTCTGTCATTCGATGACTTTCCACACTTAAAAAAAAACAGAATATATCAAAATCGTCTTGAAGTTAAGTGTGAAATAGATTATTTGTACCTTTAATGGATGCTCCAAATTAGATGTTATCTTTAGCAAATCATTTTATTGCATTCGTTATTGTTAAGTGACTTCCTATGAAAAAAGAAGTAAATGCACCGGAACAACCCTGAAGCAGCCTGAAGCGCGTACAAAGATATAATTTGTTTAAAAGATTCTGTTATTAAACCATAAGTTGTACACCATTTTCCAAAAAATTAGACTATCTCTAGGAAACGAACGAGGAAAGCAACGATAAAACATTTATAAATAAAGTGCTCAAGTAAAGCAGCTGGAAAATGCTTAGCGCTGTAAAACATTTCCCAAAATAACAACTAGAAATTTATTTTTGAAATTCAGCATGTATGTATATGCGAGCAAGCAATAAATAAAATTACTTATTGTGAGAAAAACATGTTTTTCACTAATTTTTTTGCTTTCTACTTTCCCTGGGGCTTTCCCAAACGCAAACAAAAATGTTGCCAAATCATTTCGAAGCTTTTCCTCGTACGCATGGCAACAACTATTTAATATGTTTACATATTCTTATTTCGTAATAGCGTGGGTCGATGACCTTTATCATGTCACCTGTCCGCCTTTTGACCGCTTCTGGTTAAGTTACTCATACTGCCAGTAGAATTAAGACATAATTTAACTTTGTTATAATATTTAAAATTGATTGGCACAGCACTATTTAATGTGATACATATCATTATTATTTTCTGTTCTCTTTGGTATAATCTCTCAAATATGTTGCTATTGCTTAAAATAATAAATCATCAAATTAATTTTCCGTATTAAATGTATTATAATATATATAATACGTGTCAGTACTCAGTTCCGTAAAATGGGATAGAGATCGAGAGGTGAATAGAGACAGAAGAGGGGACAATAGATATTGAGAAATTCTTCATAGTATCGATTCACTCCTCTCTGTCCCTATTCACCCCATTTTACTGATAGTGCTGGCAGAAACTCATTCTTTATTTTTATGAGCTTCTTATGTATGTATGTATGTATGTATAAATATAATGTTTGTGAAGTGGAATCTAGCAACAAAATTTTGAAGCAGATATCTTTAACAGATTGAACTGTAGTTTTGTATACACGTATAAGTAGATAGTTTGCATAACTTCATAATAATATACTAAACAGATAAAAGCTTGCTTTTGTTTTTAAATCTTGTTTTCTTACTAATATTTCAGATGGGTTTCCTCTGGTCCTGGAATCACATGATCTCTAAAAAGTGGAAGTCTGCACAAACTCCAGCGACGGGCGACGAAGGCTTCCAAATGAGAATGCTAAGAGACTTCAAACATTTCTGTGCAAACCACGAACAAAGACTCAGCCAGTTCTGGGATCAATGCTGGGAAATGAGAGAAAAGGCACGAATGCAGGACTGTTAATATAAGCCAAATATCGTGTTATTTAATAATTACTGTTGGTTGAATATATTTTATGAATTCCTTTTCGTTGTTTTTGTAGAAATATTTGCCATTACATTTATGCCATTAGTGTGCAGTTTTGTGAAAAGGTAAATAGGTAACTTAGCACTAATGTTATCTAGCACCCTAAAACTTATAGTTTATAGGCATTTCAGAATTTACTTAAAATTTGTTCGTATGTTCAAAATTACGATTTGTGCTCAGTACATTTTATACAAGAGTATATAAATTCAATAGGTACAAACATTTTACTAGTTAGTTAATTTGTTTATCAATTTGTTATCGTGCCCGCTATCCACTATAATTGAAATATGTAGCTGTGTCGGTAAATAGAAATACCTAAGCTAAGCTACCTACAGTCGCCACGGTCAGCGGTCACGCAGCCCGTTGTCAACTTGCCAACTGATACAAAATTGTCCTGAACAACTATTTTTGTTTAGTAATCACGTCACTCTGACACCAGCGAGCGACGTCGAAGTATTCATTTTTTCGGCATTTTCCTCGTTTGTCTCAAGATATTAGTGATTCACATATCTGTGTGCTATACTTTCATTCGGTTGAAAAATAATGTTCGTATCTACTATATCAGTATATCCGCTTAGTGGTAATAGATAGGTACCGGTAAATATGAGATTTAAACCATGTAGGTATATTCATATGTCAACTATAGTACCCTTATCCTTATTATTCCATAATAATAATGTCAACAAACCCGTGACCTAGGTCATTCAGGGGCCGTAGAGTATGTATATTCATTAGGCACATTTGATAAATATTATTATTAATTGAATGTTAATGTTATTATTTTAAATGTGGTTTTACGCTTTTAACATGACTTGCCTACATGTTTATTTGTTTTGGTTCAAAATATAGGTATCACAACAATGTGTCAAACTCGCTTTTCAACAGTTCCTTAGTCATGCGTCTCACGAAATGGGGAGTGAGCCAGAAGCCTATTGTCATACAACGGGTATAATTGCAGACTCCGTGGGTAACTATGGAATAGGACTTAAGATAAGATGGCAAGCCATAAGACCACTTATTCCTTTCACTACAAGGTCGACGCGATAGGATCCCTCAATCAATGAGATACCTAATCAAACGACTTAGTTTGACAAACTGATTTTTCCGAGGGCGGCAAATGAGCTGAGATCACCTGATAGCACGCTCACGGACAACCGCAGCTCAAAAGTAGTTATTAATGCGTTGCCAGCGTTTTGGGGCAAGAGACTTGAGGATAATATTATTTACGTTAAATCTACTCAGTTGGAAAATCTATCCAATATGTGACTGATGAGTATTGTAAGTATTATTGGTTAAGTATAGCTTGATATGCTCTGATGAGTTCTGTAGGTAGGCAACGAATAAACCACGGCGTGTAAGTATAAATACTGTCTTTCTTTCCTTGACTACCAAACCAACCTTTTTATTAACATTATAGTCTTAAAATTAATCGCAATATATGCTAAGTGCCTATAACGTTATTTATAATTATATTTTGTTCTCTTCTTTTAGGGGATAGGTAAATAAATGCATAGGTAGGACAGTTAAAAATAAACCAACATGTTGTTTAAGTTTCCAATACACTTTATTAAGAATGTCATACAAAAATAAAAAAACAATTTAGGTAGGCACAAAAATACCTACCTATTTAATTATACGTACTAATAAATACTTAAATAAGTACTAACTATATCATTATATTTATCTAATAAATAAGTACCTAGGTCCCTAGCTACATTACTACACCGTAAGGTCTGTGTTGGTACATACCAATGTCAAGAGAAATTAATTCCAAAGATAATTCTTGGTAGGGTCACACAACTCGCCCAAATTCAGTTTCTTGGGTCATAATATGCTTTTTTTAAATAAAGTTGATTTCGTACATCGATGGTAAAGTGACGCATGTTTTCTGTAGGTAGGTAAGTATATGTACCTGTAATGTAGGTAACATTACGTTTCCCTAAATGGTGGTCCGTTTTCCTAAATGTTTAAATATACTTATCTAGCTAGTCGACTAGGTATTCTAGTCGCCTCACATAGACATACCTAATGATAAATTCTTGTCATTTCGGCGCCCGTCGCCATGTTGTTACATTAGGTCGAAATGGTTGAATTGAACGACCTTGAACTTATCGTGTTTACTTACGTAATACTTAGGTATGTATCTACGATACATATTGCTAATTTGTTACAAGTGCAAGCTAAATAACAAATTCAAAATAGGTAGGTGTAGGTATAGATTAACCCTGCCTTATAGTTAAAGGGACTATTTTAACTTAAAGGAACTTAAATATTTGTTAAAGCTATCAAAAAAACTATCCCTCCTGCTTGATTTACCATTTGGTTTTTTTGTTAACACTAGACGACGGGTTAGCATACTCGAAAAACATGGAACTTGTTTTTTGTAATTACTAACGTCCTCAGATGTGTTAGATTCAAAATTTAAAGCAACTTTTTGGCATACAAAAGTTAATAGAGTCAAAATATCAATAGGATCTTCTGCTGTGTAGGTTAACTCTTCATAAAGTGCCTGAATGAACCAGGATCCACGATCAGAATTTCTCCACGCGAAATATCCGGGTACAGTAGAAAGCACAAGTAGAAAATCAGGATGACTTGGAATTTTATGAGGTTCGTACCAGCCATCTGTCTCGATGTTTCTTTGTAGTGTAATTCCGTTATCATATTCATCACCTTGGCACGCTTGAAACATGAATAACTTTGGTTTACCAGCAAGCGTGGGACATTTTGTATCAGTAAAAGGATTCCACAGGTTTTCTGCTCTATAGTGGGTATCTCTGGCAAAGAGCAATCCCGAATGTCCGTGGCTTAAAACCATGACGAGTAGACAATCGTGTTCGGAGTGATTCACCTCAGCTGTTTGTTTAATCTGTTTCATAATATTTGTGTATTTTAAATTATGAAATATATTGACGTCAAATCCCAACGTTGTTAAACATTCGTCTAAGTTATCACAATCTTTTCGAGTACCGGCTCGTGGTGGGATATCGATATCGAAGCTATCATGACTAAAAATGATGGCTTTACCTCGGTACTTGTGGTTCATGTGGTAAAATTCATTTTTATATGAATTTAATGAGTCAGTGCAGCTGATTCGTCCTCCATTATTGCTGCTATTTGTCATTTTCGATACCTATTTCACACTAGTTCAATTAAATATAGAGAAGTAGGTATAAATAAGGTCCTAAATTTTAATATGCACTACACCGTTCAAAAGGCAATCAACAACTGACCGAGCCATCACTATAATAAGACATTTATATCCAGATACGGATGACGTAATTCATTTATTAATTTGTACATTTGACGTGGGGAAGTACGTCGCGCGCGCAGCTGTCAGTGTTGCTATCTTACTTATAATAATATTATAAATGCGAAAGTTTGTCTAGTGGCTGATATTACTTATGATGATGATGTTGAAAATAGTATATTATTTCATACTGTTTACTTGTTGAACAGTAAACAGTATAACTCAACACTGTTAATTCGACTGAGCGGTTGGCGCGGTAGCTAGGCAACTGGCTGTTGCGTAACGTGGCGCGGGTTCGATTCCCGTACGGATCAACTCTGTGTGATTGTTGTTCCGAGTCTGGGCGTCATGTGTATGTGAAATTGTATGTTTGTAAACGCACCCACAACACAGGAGAAAATCCTAGGGTGGGGCAACGTTTTTTTAAAAAAAGAAGAGTTGTGTTAATTCCACCTATGCTCTTTCGGGAACGGAATTGAAATTATTTCTGGCGGTACAGTTCCCTTTTGCGTGGCGTGACTATTTTTTTGTAAAAACAGATCTTCACTAGGTGCCCTAGTTTTCGAGATATACATGTGGCCGACCTGGGGAGACTCTCCCCAGCCACTATTTCTGATATTTGGGTACTAATTTCGACTATTTTTTTTTGTGTTATCAAAATTAATATCTCTGATGGTGGCCAGGCCAGAGAGAGTGACACATGGGCGGCACCGATTGCTGTTCTCCGTTTATCGCCATATACCATAAAAAAGTCTGAAAAACCCTTCCATCCCGCTTAGGGCAGGATGGGACATTTTGATGACTTTACATTAATTCAAATCAATATCTCTATTAAACTTATGCACTCAAATTGTATGACTTTATCTATGGAGTAGGAGGCAAACGAGCAGATGGATCGCCTGATGGCATGCCATTGATATTGTGTCTAGAGGTCACACTTAACGTGTAACAAATAGAAAGTGTTTGCTAATTATGTATAAATAAATATAATATAATAAAAGAAAAACACACATTGAGAATGGAAGAATTTATTGCTTATAGTTTACGGTAGAATATAAGCATTTATTATAAAAAATACAAACCACTCATATCATTGCATCAAAAGTCTATGAGGAGAGCTAGAATACTAATAAAGATCCATCATTTAGCTGTGTTTCTACAATAATTTACAGTTGGACAAGGCACAATTTTAATATATCAACAACTAAAATATTATTATTTCTAATATAAATCCATGGCAATTAACTCCTCACAGATACTTTTTCATACTAAAGTTAAATCAGTCAATTGATGCCATTATCACATACCTGAATCCAAAATTTAATATTCAAGTTTTATTATTTCATTACTTATATAATATAATGCATTACTGATATTAAAACATATTGTAATTAAAACTTTTATTATGACACTTGGGCATGCAATACTAGACATTTTCATTCAAGCCAGCTCACAAAAAAATAAAAAGAAAACTAACTTAGTGTAAAATTGGTAGAAATTGTTATTGTGCTACTAACAACTAATACAACAATTAAATGCTCTTATTAAAAATAAATGTCTTAACATAGGTGGTCTGCCTACAGGTTTGAATAATGCAAAAAAAAACTTAAAACATAACAAAACTAGGTAACACTGTTGATATCAGATCTTTAAATAGCTCAATAAATTGATTAGTTATTACAACACAAGTTTATCCTAAGAGAAACATAAATGTGTATGACATTCATGATATGTACAGTTGCTATAGAAATTGATTCCTTTGTTCATGTTCTTCAGTCTGTTCTTTCGTTCACTTTATGATTAAAAATTATTTACTATTATTAAGTACTTTACAAATATAATCTCAAACATTTTTGTATTAAAACTTGCAATGTGTCAAAGAATACTTTTCAAACATATGGCTGGGAGTGTATTTTTATCCTTTATTCTTTAATTGAGCAAATACATATTATGAAATATAATTTAATTTTAAAGTTTGTGCACTCATTATTATGAAAATGAGCAAAAAATACATCTTTTCTAATTACCTAAACTTTATATCACTAGCACATAATAGGGAAGTGCTACTACTTACATAACTTGTGACAATGCACTACAATTTACATCTAACAACCACCATTATTTCATTTGGACACCAAATAATAATGAATCATAAAAAATAATGCAGAACCAAAATTAATCTCAAAAAGTAATGTTAAAATGCGTCTACCATTAAAACATTTTGAACAGCCATTGAACATTATTTTCTAATTTAGACAAGAAAGAATAGTTTCCTTCCATATTACATTTGTATAAGTATAGCTAACAAGACATTTGAATACCTAACATAGGTACAGATCAACAACACGGCATATCAGTGGGATTACTTCTTACCAAACACAAGCAAGCGTGTCAGCATGCTGGTGATGCAAGGAACTTGTTTCTGTTGGTGCATCATCGCTGAGTCAGGAGCGTTAGACTCAAAGTCTAGAGCTACTTTCTGACACACAAATGTTAGCAATGTCAGGATGTCCCTCTCAGTTCCTGCATAGCGTAACTCTTCACATAAGGCCTGCATAAACCAAGAACCTCTAGTAGTGTTCCTCCAAGAGAAGTATCCAGGTACAGTAGAAAATGCAATCAAGAAATCAGCATGTACGGGAATCCTATAGGATGCAGAAGGTGAGCCATCTGTCTCAGTGCGGCTCAGAGTAACACCACCATCCAATTTATCACCTTGGCAAGCCTGAATAAAGAACAGCTTAGGTTTTCCAGCCAGAGTGGGGCACTTGTCAGCAGTAAAGTAGTACCACAGGTTCTCTGGCTTGTAATGAGTGTCTTTGGCATACAGCATTCCTAGCTCCCCATGGGTTAAAACAGCAACGAGTAAACAGTCAGCGTCAGAATGGTCCATGTCTGCAGTCTGCTGGACATATTTATTGATTTCTTCTGATTTTAAGTTAGTGAACACCGTCACTTTGAAACCCAAACCTTTAAGAACTTTGGAAAGGTTGTCGCTGTCTACATTTGTGCCAGTACGAGACTTCAAACTGTGAATATCGAAATGCTCGTGATTGAAAATAATGGCCATCCCACGATGTTTATGGTTCATGTTATAATAAGGGGCATTTCTGTCAACAGGCATCCTAGCAATACGGCTAGGTTGCGAGGAATTGTGACTGCCCAGAGCGTCGCCTTCATCGCCACCACCGTTGGTTCTTTGTTTAGTATCAACACTATCAACATTTCCATTGTCTTGTTTTCCGTCCAGCATTTTGATAATTGTCTATTCTTTTGACGATTAAGTAAAATAAAATAACTTTTTATTTATTTAACAGTAAACTCGCATCAATTGTACGTCACTACACGATCACCAAAATCGCCGAAATACTTGCGGTGCGTGCAATCACAAACACGAAAACAGTGACAATCAAAAAGTCAAAAGCAAAACGTTCTGTCAAGTCCATCAACAATCCGCAAACCATAAACAACTTCGAAGTTTCAAATCAAAGCACGGAATGAGTAGAAATAGATATCATACTGCTTTTTATATGTGACGGGATGGTGACGGGTTTCTACTTATAACAGTAAAGTGTCTAAAAGTTTAATACTAATTTATAGTTTAAAATTAGTTAATACTATAATGATATGGTGAAATACTTCGTCATATATTTTTTTGCATGATTAATTTATAAAAATAATTATTATGCTCCTATATGCAATTTGTGTTAATTTTAAACTACAGTTTGACCACATAATTATTCTGTGTTATGTGTATCCGTTGTTAAAAAAATGTTCCTGATTGTTCCTATTATACTAAAAATTTTACACCTAATAATTTATAATTACAATGTGATTTATAAGAATAAAAAAACTCTCTAAGTTTCTTTTTATTGGATGTTTTTTAATATCTAAAAAAGGTATTTATAATAACTATCGTGAGACATACTAAATTAAGTAAAAACGCGGGTTACTCAGTGAGACTGCGCGACGTCACCGCGACCGCGCACGCTGCTCATGAGGAAGAACCCCTCTGTGGTTCGAAACTAGTAGAGCTTTAATTTCTCAGTATACCTATGAGTAACCCGCGTTTTTACTTAATCTAAAAAAGGTCTGCCGATAGCATGCCAGCTACAACTATGTACAGCCAATCCCTGTTAGATAAAACTAAGACTCGCGTTGCTGTTGCAGACGCTGTGAGTCACACTCGCTAGTAGACCTGCAGTAGATCAGCAGCACCTGGCACTCACGTTCCGCAAGGCTCGCTATGCCCTCCACCCCGCGCCGCTGCTGCAGATGCTGTGAGTCATGAGTGTGACGCGGCTTGGCGGGACACGCATCTAAGTTTTATTCAACAGGGATTGTCCGGACCTACTCCCAAAGCGTCACCCGGTATCTCTCGAAAATGATAGAGTATACTCGATAGGTTTCGAGTAACTCTCGAAGCTGATCGAGGATACTCGATTGTTTTCGAGCACGCTCGATAGTTATCGTGGACTCTCGACAGTTTTCGAGGACACTAGATAGCTTTCGATGACTCTCGACAGTTTTCGAGGACTCTCGATTGTTTTCGAGCAACTCTCGAAAGTTGAAACTGATCTAGGACGCTTGATAGTTTTCGAGAACGCCCGATAGATTTCTAGTAACTCTCTGTAGTTTTCGAGGACGTTCGATAGTTTTCGAGGAGGCTCGATAGGTTTCGATGACTCTCGATGGTTTTCGAACACGCTCGATATTTTTCGGGGACGCTCGATTGTTTTCGATAACGCTCGATTGTTTTCGAGGCTGCTCGATTGTTTTCGAGGATGCTCGATAGTTTTCGAGGACGCTCGATAGATTTCGAGGACGCTCGATAGTTTTCGAGAACTCTCGACAGTTTTCGAGGACGCTCGATAGATTTCGAGGATGCTCGATTGTTTTCGAGGATGCTCGATTGTTTTCGAGGATGCTCGATTGTTTTCGAGGATGCTCGATAGTTTTCGAACTCTTAATTGTTTTCGATTGTCTTAGTTTTATCTAACAGGGATTGGCTGTACATAGTTGTAGCCGGCATGATGAAGGCTAGACCTAGTTTTACCCGAAAACAATCGGCTCGTACTAGGTTTAACAAAGAGTAAGTTACACCTAGTTCTAACCGGCTAAAACTAGATGTAGCCGCACTTCGGGTATTAGCCGTAACATATATACCTACATTCCATCCTTCACCTATCCATTATGAATATAAATAATATACTTACCATCTATTCAAGTCATATTTACATATTACATTACCTTATTAGATGTTGTCTACGTTCATACGTACTATCTACCTACCTACTTAACTCACTATGATTCTATGAAAGCTCATAGCAACAGCAAGTAGGTACTTGGCTCGATTTGTTTACCTAACCTGTTACCATGGCAACGACACAGTAGACTGACGAATTAATTGAAAATTGCGATAATTGTAAACTAAGTTTAAATATGTCCATTTTCAAAGTAAAACAGTGGTGGTCTAACGATAAATTGCAAAATGAAGAGACAAATGAAGGAAATCAAAACGCGAACTGTTTGAAAGTGGACAAGTTCAATTCGCATTCTGATAGCGATTGTATTCTGGTCGCTGAAGGGGCATTGTTGAAAATATACAAACCGAATGCCGAGGAATCGTCTTCACAGATTTTATTAGAATCTCAGTTGAGTGATGTAGTGTTGCAAATTGAAACTGGCAAGTTTACGGGGTATGTTATCTTAATTAGCGAGATTCTGTTAGGTACCTGTGTCTGTGATAAATAAAAATAAATCAATCTCCCGATCGATTTCAATCACGGTAGCCAGTCTGTCTTGCTAGACTAGCCCACTACGCAGGAGATATTATTATTATAGTGCACAAGTTTGTGTGCAAACTCTGGACCTGGTGCACTCTCTGTTTCGCTACTCTCTGAACCCGACGGGACGGCAGACCGACATGACCGGAGAGAGGTCAGGCGCAGGACCAACGTGCTTTCCGAGGCACGGAGGTGAAACCCCGCTGAACTTCCTGACTCCAGGTTAAAATGATCATTTTACTCAGAAAATGCCATCATCACTTTTTGGCCGGCGTGGGAATCGAACCACTGCGCCAACCGTGCAGTTAAATCGTGTAGGTCTGTGGTAGGTACTAAATAAGCAGGTACTGATTAAACCTCTTTGTTTTTTTAAAGAAACTTTGAAGATCGACAAATATTAGTGTTGCATCCACAAAGTTATGAAATTTACCACCTCAAAAGAAAAGAAGGTCATATGGAAGCTGGTAAGCCAAAGATACACATACCTATTTAACATAAATTATTGTGTTTATGTGAATTGACCACACTATAACAAGTACACAACATAAAGTCACGCATTTTGCACATTATTAGTTACCTACCAATTACACTCTGTTGGACTGGACAATCGAACACAAAACTCCTTATTCGTTGTAGCTGATTAAATAGTACCTACAAACATCTTAATTCTCAATTATTAATATTATAAAAATAATCTCGAGCTTTGTATAAATAAATAAAGCGTATTCTATGAGCCCATATTGGGTGGATCTTCAGTGTACATAGAGGATGAAATGTGAAATTATGGAATTATTTAATTGATAGGCGTAATTATTATTGAAACTCTATATCTCGCAGGTGATCAAAACTATCTCACACCTGTTATAAAACATTCGTTTACAAGAAAAGCAGATAGTTTAACATGTGGACCATTTGGGAACATAAAGACCAGGGATTTCATCTGCATCCAAGGCTTGGACGGCAGCCTGAGCTTCTTCGATCAAGACACGTTCCTGTTTATGTGCATATTCAGTGACGTCATAATACCATCGCCTGTTTGTTACATTGCGAGCTGCGATTCCTTTGTTATTTGTAAATCTACGTGGGTGTTAGAAATATACAGGTAATTACGCAATTTTATTAACGAGTACGTACGTGTTTAGAGATTTTTGGCAGTCCAAAAATCCAAGAGCTGCTTTCTTCGATTCGGGATTAAACCCGAAACTATTCAATCAATAGTCACTCAAAAACCTAATACTTGCCTATTTGTATTCCAGTATTCCTGAATATTGACTTACCTATATGAAATATGTATGGGTTTTAAGTATAAGTAGCTTACTTCACTCCGCTACTATTTCACAATTCCGCAGGTGTTAGGTCCCTGCCTATTTCTTCGATTTTCGCGCCGTATAATGTTACAATAATTATCCTCTTTGATACTTTTCCGCATTGATAATAATATTAATAGATAGGTACCTACCTACTAAGGTAGATTTGTCCTTTATTTTATGTATAAAAGGTACTTTACACATTTATTAAAAAATATCGAACGTAATTCCCCGAAATTTGTCTATGGTCATTTAAACATTTGATTATTTATAATTATTGCACAATTGATTGTTTGACATTTTCCATCTGACCATGAGTGTAACAGGAAAAATAGTATATTTCGGAGATAAAATATTCACATTAATGAAACTTTGTATATTTATAACTTTATCTCAGCACTACAAATCTATTAGGTACCTACAGTATTTAGAAAATTGGATACCAAATATGTAGATAGGAATCATCCCAAATTCCGTCGTGGATCTATGATAAATATCTTTTCAACTTGTGGTAAGTATTGAACGTATGGCTCAAGAATTATCTTTTGTACATTTTGTAGCTATCAGCAACTAAGGGAATTCAGTGAGTTGACTATCAGACAGAATAAGAAGAACATCCCACAGTGGGTTTATAACGCAGGCGAAGAAATTACTCGAGTGCAAGTTATTCAGGTATACTGTCCTATTTTTTTCTTAGCGTACTACCTGCCCACCTAGTACTCGTATAAGCAGGGAACTACTATTAAGAATTTTGATGCTAATAAATGAATATTAGATGTTCAGGGATCGAAGGTGGAAACTTTTTTATATCAGGTTCTAACTGAGCTTCCGCATACTGCTTACGAATATAAAGCTCCCAGTGTGATCTGAAACTAATCGAGTAGTCTCGTATAACTATTTAATTTCCTTGCAATGTTTGAAGTACTCACCTTAATAATATATTTATTTACATCTAGTTCGGTATTTTAGCCTTGAAAATAATGTTAGGTGCTCTTTCACAGACCAGCAACAACTTTTCCAGTATTGTAGCATTAGGTGAGAGGCACATCTACTGTTTTCAAGACAATGGACTGATGAAGTACATGATTAAATTCGATTTTATACCGATTTGCTTCTGTGCTTACCTCATTGGTTGGTATTACGGTAAGTTTTCTTCGAAATGTTTATTTACTAGTCTCGTTGAAGCTTAGAGAATATTTAAATCAACTGAATTTGGCACTTTCAATGTCAAAATCTGACGTTTTATACAAACTGTTTTCTCCTGCACCTCACAACTCTTGAAGTGGTGATTCTATTCTTGATTTGGTTCCTAAGGTAACATGATG